CCAGTGCTGGAGGAAGAGGATTATATATACCACCACACTGGCCTTGGCTTTCTAAATTCTTTTCTCACGTATCCACCCACCTTTTCTTACTTCCTCCTCTATAGCACAAGTTGCCCACCCCTCCCCTTTTTAGCCAACATTTATGCCCCTACCTCACCCTCTCACCATTGTAAACAGTGTGGATATGGTTGTTCAGAAATTCTGCCAATTCAGTTGAATGCCAGCTGAGAATCAGAAGTGTTTCTGAAAAGCAGTGGACAGATTGAGTCAAGTCTGCAGGTCCTTAGGGCGAGCAGCACACACAAAGGAAACCCCACGTGGGTCTCTGACAAAACTAACATTCTGCTCTTTGCTATTAAGAAAATATGCTGCTTTTACAGCTATCCTAAGGTGCAGAACCATCTATAATTTGTCATAAATATTTAATCAAGTCTGCATGCAGCCAAGAAAAATGAAAACAATTGAGAAAGAGCCAACTTTGCAGTTTCTGTGTTCACAGTTCATCTTTTCAGGCGTATCTAGCTACTTGTCCTGTGGGTAATGGAATGGGCCTGGGTGTTCTCTGTTCATTGATAACATGCTGACAACAGCTTCTGTGCCTATTCTAGAAACCTGGTGAATACAGTGACTTTCAACTGTGCCCTGACAGAGCTCAATACTGCCCAAGTTGAATTAAGGTCTCAGTATAAAATCAAAAGTTGATTGCCTTTCACCCAATGAGCCAGTGAACTTAAATGGGTGACTAGAATCCTCCATGCATATACATATTTGCATATGAATATACATGTGCATGTGTATATATTTATTGACTTAACGTCAAGGGCATGAACTGTTGTGTTCACTTTTTCAGTAAATTGGGCAATTGATGCCAGGCCCAGATAGAAGTTGAATCATGTTATTAATATTCACTTGCTCTGCTTCAGCTTATACTTGCCAGTAAATGAATATTAATGGATTCCTGAAATAGCTGTTCATTGTTAGAATAATTGCCTCTTAATCTTATTTTTCAGGAACACTCACTAATGGTTATATGATAAAGGGCCTTCTGATGCTTTTCATGACAAAGCGTCTACGTATGCTTGTGTGTGTATGCATTCTGTGTGCATGTGTGTGTGATGTAGTCATTGCTTACCAGCAGTGGGGAATAGGTTCTAGAACCCATTCCCCCAGGATATTAAAATCAAATATGCAAGTCCATTATATAACATGATGTAGTACATGAGTGCTTCAGAAAATCTGCGGAAAAATAGAATTAAAGAAATGCTTTATTCTTGGTGCAAAATAATTGAAATCTAACAGTAGGCTTTTGGCCGAGTGGTTGAGACCTTGGCTGGGATGTTCCATGTCAGATGGCTGGCTTTGAGTTGTGGTTCTGCTCCCAATGTCTGCTTCCTGCACACCAAGGCAGCAGCAGAGGCGGAAGTCCTTGGGTTCCTGCTATTCACATGAGAGACATGGATTGAGTTTCCTACTCCTTCGTTTGGTCTGCCCAGTCCTGGCATTTCCAGACATTTGGGCAGTGAACCAGTGGATGAGAGCTCTCTCACTTTTCTGCTGTTCAAATAAATACAGATAAATAATTAAACATTGAAATTCTTGTGCAGTGTTTTCATAATGATTTTCCACAAATTTTTGAAAATCTTTTGTATGCTTGGAGTTCAAAATTTTTGCATAAAATAATCATACATTTTTAGTATCGTTTCCCTCCCATAATAAGCATCTTTGAACTTGTGTATTATCTTTGCACCTTCTTCCATACCCTTTACATCATCTCTGGATTGCTCCTGGTACCCAATACCATGTGAATAATGTGAAAATAGTTGCTGTGCTGTATCTTTTTAAATTTATTTATTTTTATTGGAAAGCCAGATATGCAGAGAGGAGGAGAGACAGAAAGGAAGATCTTCGGTTCGCTGATTCACTTCCCAAGTGGCCACGATGACTGGAGCTGAGCCGATCCAAAGCCAGGAGCCAAAAGCTTCTTCTAGGTCTCCCACATTGGTACAGGATCTCAAGGCTTTGGGCTGTCATCAACTGCTTTCCCAGGTCACAAGCAGGGATTCGGATGGGAAGTGGGGCCACCAGGATTAGAACCGGCAACCATATGGGAACCCGGGTGTGTACAAGGCAGGAACTGTAGCTACTAGGCTACTGTGCTGGGCCCCGCTATGGTGGATTGTTAAGGGATAATGACATGTAAAAAAATACATGTTCAGAACAGCTGCATGCAGGGTTTCTTCCCCAAATATTTCCAATCTGCAGGTGGTTGACTTCACAATGTGGAACCCACTGACACGTGTACATGTGTGTGTACTGGGGACATTGTGGTAGGGGCTCAGGGGGATGGCCAAGGGAATGAGCATCATCGCCCACAGGGGTCCTCCTCAGAGCACGTCAGTGCGCCCTGTTCCCTGGCTGGGAGGCCCATTGTGGTACACACCTCACGCAGTTCTGATTTCTACTGCAAACACAGTCTCTTTGATCTTAGGGGGCATTAATCATTTCATTAATCACCAGGATTCTGTTTCAAGTCCCACTGAAGAGCACTCTTCCTCCGCTGCCGAGGCCCTGGTAGAATTGCAAAGAGGAATACACCCTGGAGGGTCTGTGCCTGGTGGCTGACTTAGGTCTTTTCCTCTCTGATCCTTCTGCAAGCAGATAACATCCTGTGGATGCTTAAGCTCAAGCTAAATGCCCCTGGGTTTCAGAGCAGAAGATGCCAGTCTGGGTGGTCTGGGGTTCAGAGTGGAGGATGCCAGTCTGTGTGGTCTGGGCGTCAGAGCGGAGGATGCCAGTCTGGGTGGTCTGGAGTTCAGAGCAGAGGGTGCCAGTCTGAGTGATCTGGGCATCAGAGCAGAGGATGCCAGTCTGGGTGGTCTGGGGTTCAGAGCGGAGGATGCCAGTCTGAGTGGTCTGGGTTCATTACCTTTTCTTCCTGTTTTTATTTTTCAAGGAACATCATTTTTTATTTTATTTTTGATTTTTGATAATGTTTACATAGTTGAGCAAGGTGAGACCATTGTTTCCAAATCTCCCTCCCTCCTCCTTCCTCCTGTATCTGGGTAAATTAGGGAGAAGCCACACCCAGACTTCTCACCACCCCGTCCCTGGGGATGGAGAACGGCCACCTGACATCATCCCAGGGACCCAGATGTGGGGATCCAGTGGTTTCGATTGTTCTGAAATGCTGTCGATCTTGCTGACTCAAGGATGAGGGCATCATTTCAAGGTGTATCTCCTGACACAACCCACCCTGAGCCTCCATTTCCCCAGATATTTGCTGTCAGTGCTTGACCGGGGTAGTTGACCAATTTGCTCTGCCCTCCTTGCTCTGCTAGTACCAGATGTTTTCCGTAGGCCCCAGTGAACTGCCATATTCTTCCGTGCATCTGGGCATGCCATCCACTGCTCTGTCTGAGCCACTGAGGAGGCCCAGTTCTGACACATGTGCTCCACAGTCAGACCACAGATCCTGCAATTCTCCCCATGGTTGGAGTTCTGACTGAGCCCAGCGGTTCCGGTGGGAGGATCTCCACAGAAACCTTTTCTGAAGTGATCCCAGACCTGACTCTTGTGTGTGCTTGCCAGTAAGGCGCCTGGCTCAGAGGCTGTCACCCATGTCAGCCTACACACTCAATGGTAACTGTACTTGCTGGGTCAGTTTTAGCTCCAACCCTGTCTGTTATGTAAACCAATGGATGCTGTGACCAATGGATACTCTGCATCACACACTTGGCCCTCACAGTCACCAGCAGGAACTATAGCCCAGTTGGGGCAACCCCTCTCAGCCTGTCCCCAGCCCTGGTTCCTGTGCTTGCCTGTACGTATAGCAGACTGGCCCATTCTATTCCACATCCCATTCAGCTCTTGTATACATCAATGGGCATTGCGACTTAGCTCTACCCAACTGACCCTACTTTGCAGCCCACACTCATGTTGGTGGGTGCCACTGCCTGTCTGGCCAGACCTGCCCCCAGCCCTAATTCTCATGCTTACTAGTGGGATCTGCAGCCCATCAGAGAGCTGCCCACAGTTTCCATAACAGGCCTACCCCTAGCCCGTGTGGGAGGATGCTTGCTGTGGAGTGCAGGGCCCAGGAACGACTGCATATTTCTGAGATGTTTCTGGTTATGTCTGAACTAGTCTGCTGTTCAGTGCTGGGGATGCAGCTCATTCCTTTACTCGTTTACTCATCGCTTCCTCCTCTGCAAACAATCCAGACGTGTGAATACAGAAGCTTGCAAGCACTTTGCAGGTAGTGAGAGTAGGGCCCTGCGCGGTAACCTAGAGGCTCAAGTCTTCACTTGGCATGTACCCGGGATCCCGTATGAGTGCCAGTTCATGTCCTGGCTGCTCCAGTGCCCATCCAGCTCTCAGCTTGTGGCCTGGGAAAGCAGTTGATGACGGCCCAAAGCCTTGGGACCCTGCACCAACGTGGGAGACCTAGAAGAAGCTTCTGGCTCCTGCCTTGGATCAGCTCAGCTCTGACCATTATAGCCACCAGTGAATGGAAGATCTTTCTCTCTGTATATCTGGCTTTCCAATAAAAGTAAATAAATCTTAAAAAAAAATAGTGAAGGTAAATATGAAACTTTTCCCTCTTTATTTACACTTAACTATTTCTGCTATAATGTTACTGTGACTCGGCTGTACTTATTTAGCGGTGGGGAAAAGGGACTGAAGCCTAGATGCTGGCAGTCCTGCCTAGGTTTGAGTCCTAGACTGATGCCCATTGCTCTCAATGGGCAACGTTTAAGTGCATTTCTAAACTTTATCAGTAGCATGGCTGCGACAGGTGTTCCATTTCCATCCCAGAGTTGGTCTGAAATGAAAGGACGTGTCATCCGTGAAAATATTTTGGAGTCCTGGAGCAAAAGGAAAGCAGTGTTTGGGGAGTTGCATTGCTGGTTGAGAATTCAGATACTGACGGGCGGGGAGGGAAGCTCTGGCGCCTACATTGTCACGGGTTCTTTTCCTTCATTCCTTCCCTCACCCTGCAGAGTAACCTGATACACTACCTGGGCCTGAGCCACCACCTGATCGCGCTGAATTTTATCATCATCGCATTCGGCAAGAAAGGCGCCTGGTCGTCGGCCCACGTGAAGGTGACCGACACCGACTTCGACGGCGTGGAAGTCAGGGTGTTCGAAGGCTCGCTCAAGCCGGGAGAGTCCCTGAAACGCGGCCTCATCTACATCCACGGCGGAGGGTGGGCCTTGGCCAGCGCAAGTAGGTGTCCTGCTCCCTTTACACCTGTTAGGTGTTGCGAAGTCAACCTCCACCCTTCCCCCCAGGGTGCAGGTGGGGGAATGGATGTGTGACTGAGTTTGGCTTACCCAGTGGGTAAAGCTAAGGCGATCATTTTTCTCATTGCCTCTGGACCGTCCTCTGTCTTGCTTGTCCAAGTAAAAATCTTGATAGTATCTATCTTTCCACTCTCAAAAAGGATCCCGGTTTGAGGGCTACCCTCTGCAGAGGAGTTTCCTTGTTGGATTTTTTTTTTTTTTAAGATTTATTTTTGTTGCAAAGTCAGGTACATAGAGAGAAGGAGAGACAGAGAGGAAGATCTTCCGTCCAATGATTCACTCTCCAAATCGCTGCAATAGCCAGAGTTGAGCTGATCCGAAGCTAGGAGCCAGAAGCCTCTTCCAGGTCTCCCACACAGGTGGTGCAGAGTCCCAAGTTCTTGGACTGTCCTCGACTTACCTCTCAGGCCCCAAGCAGGGAGCTGGATGGGCAATGGGGCCAACCCCGTGCCCATATGGGATCCTGGCCTGCTGAAGGCGAGGACTTTAGCCGCTAGGCCACTGTGCCGGACCCTTTTGGGTGGGTTTTTAGTTCAGCCAGGCTGTTTGAAAACATTGCTTGTGATCTAAATCATAGACTAACTTACTGTGCAGTGCTGATAATACCTACTGGCACCAAAACGAGACGTTTGAGCCACAGTACATAACAGCGTGATCAATAGTTCTTTTTCCCCACATTACGCTTTAAAGCTGTCACTATAAAAAGCCAGAGCAGCTATTTCTTAATGCGCATGTAAACTTATCAACATGGTATGTACTTGGCAAGTCAGAGATTAAAACATAAAAGCCAACCACTGAGAGGAAAAAAGTTTTTTTTTTTTCTTTTGAGTTGGATACTTTTCATGAGTAGAACAGAGTCCAAGTGGTAGGCAGCCAAGTGGGGCAGCCCAGAGGCAAGGCCATGGGATTCTGGCCGTCACCAGAGTGTCTCTTGCTCATCTGTACCTCTGAGCTCTTGGCTCCAGGTTCCGAGGCAATGACAACTTGCTCTGTTTATCATTACGTGATTATGTCTCTGTAGCACATATATATACACACACACACATACACTAATGGCTCCCACTTTGTTGAGCTTCATTTCCATGAGTTATCCTTTCATTCAGTGGTGTGTTTGTATGTTCAATAAATATTGACAGAATACACATGTCTGCCCAAGACTCAGGAGCGCAGATTTTCAGTGCAAAAATGTCACGAAGCTGTGGGCCAGACTGGGCCTTTGATCATCTTCAGGGGGCCCAGGGGATGGGGAGGCACAGACGGAGGGGACAGTCCATGCCTTGGAAAACACTGAGTCTGTCACGTTGAACACTTGCCACGCAAGAGGTAGCGTTGAAGGAAAGGAAGCGTAGGTTTGTAGGACCGGCATGGACCGTCCAATCACCCTGGCCTTTCCTGCATCGCGTTCCCTGCCCGGAGGAGGCTCATGGGCTGGTAGGGAATGCACCTGGCCCTGGGTTTCTGTAACTGAAGACTTTGGGACTTTGGGAAAGCCGATAAGGAAGGAGATGCCAGGGGCTCTGCTGGCATAAAGAAGTCTTAATTTATTACAAGATTAAATTCTTACATATCAAAATTGTTCTGTTGTTGCAAGCCCCGGGACCCTCTTTCTCCAAATGCTTAGATGTCCTATCATGCTTCTTTCATGTCCAGAGATTTGAAGAGAATGTAATTTTTTTTTTGTATTGATCATTGAATCACGGCATAGGAAGATATTCAAGAAATGTAAAGATATTAAAGAAATATTAAATGCAAGTTTATGATTCCAAGGAAGAAACTGCTTGATTTTTAAGGAAAGGCATGCATGGGAACAGGTACAAATAACATGATTAATTCGATGTGCTTCATTATAGCCATTATGGAGTAAATGTTGAATTGGCTAAAAAAAATTCAGAAGTAATTTCATATAGAGTTCTTGTTATTTGCAGTCATTGCATTTTAAGAGAAGCCCAAATTTAGTATTTTTTTCATTTATCATGTGAATCTGTCTGTTTATTCACGTGCTTCTTATTTATTTTCATTATTAACTTCAACTCTAAGAACAAGACAAATTTAGCTGAATTGAAGAATGCAGTAATGATGTAAGAATGGGCAACAGTTTTTGAAAGATTTGTGTAGTTGAATTTGAGAGGCACAGTATAATAGAGAAAGAGAAGGAGAGAGAGAGAGAGAGAGAGGAGAGGCCTTCCATCTACTGGTTCACTCCTCAAATGGCAAGCGTGGCCAGACCTGTCTGAAGCTGGAAGTAAGTAGCTCCTTCCGGGTCTCCGATGTGGGTGCAGAGCCCAAGCAATCGGGCCACCTTCCGCTACTTTCCCAGGTCATTAGCAGAGAGCTGCGTCAGAAATGGAGAAACTGGAACTTGAACTGGCATCCTTATGGGATGTTGGCACTGCAGGCTGAGGCTTAACATGCAACGCAATGGTGCCGAACTAGCCAAGAAGGGGTGATAGTAACTGACTTGTTTTGTAGTGACGATTCCTTTGTCTCTTCTAGGAATCAGATACTACGATGAGCTGTGTGCGGCAGTGGCTGAGGAGCTGAATGCTGTTGTTGTCTCCATTGAGTAAGTAATTCATGCCATTCAAAGAAAAAGAATTTTAATTAAGAAAGGATTCTAAATACCCATGGAGGAGTGGATATTTGGCCTAATAGTTAACACATCAGCGTCCTTTATCAGAGTACCCGGGTTCAATTCTGAGTTCGGAACTCCACTCCGGTTTCCTGTTGTACATTCTTAGAGGCAGCTCAGGTGCCCAAGCTCTTTCCACTCACATGGGAGATCCAGATTGAGTTCCTGTCTCCCTGTTTCCGTCTGGCCCAGTCCCTTCTTTTCTGAAAATCTCTCTTTTTTAAATAATCTTTTTCAAAACGTATTTATTTTGAAAGGCGGAACAACAGAGAGAGGGAGAGACAGACAGGAGAGAGTCTTCCATCCAACATGTCACTCCAAAAGTGGCATAACAGTCAGCACTGGACCAGGCAGAAGCCAGGAGTCAGGAGCTTCCTCTGGGTCTCCCAGGTGGGTGCATGGGCAAAAGCATGTGGCCTGTCTCTGCTGCTTTTCCAGGCTCATAGGCAGGGAGCTGGACTGGAAGTAGAGCAGCCAGGGCTCGAACCAGTGTGCATATAGGATGCTGGCACTGCAGGCAGCAGCTTAGCTGGCTTTGCCACAACTGGCAGCAGCCAGGCCTTTCATTTAAGGAGTAAACCAGTGGACAGCAGTTCTATCTCTTTGTCTCTTTGTGTCTCTGAGTTCAAATAAGTAAATTATATAACTAGACAATGACCTAGTGACTTATTAAACATGAAATATAGATCTAGAGTAGTGATTTGCCCAGGATCACGTTTAACATAATCAGAAAAAAAATTATTTCTCATGTTACTTAAAATTTTTTGAACTACCCTTATATCGAGTTACATTTTTCATGTTAGTCTTGGATACTTCTGGAAAAGAAATTCACCATAACCCAGGGAAAGATACAGTTACTAGCAACATACAAATTTTATGTGTTTAGCCTGGCAGTTAAGACACCTCAGTGTGTTACTGAAGCATCTGAGGTTAATCCCTGGCCCTAGCCCCTGACTCAGTTTCCTCCTAATAAAGACCCTCATTGCAGCGGTGAGGGCTCCGGGAGCTGGGTCCCCGCAGCTCACCTTGGAGCGGTGGTCTGAAGGCTCAGCACCTGTAGCCTGCATCTGCTCCCGTCCTGGGCTGTGTGAGCCGTGGGGAGTGAATGAATAGATAGAAACTCCACCACCGTCAATCTCTGTTTCTCAAATATTGTTATTTAGGGGAAACCCATTCAATCTAAATACTCAGTTGCAGGGACTGGGCCAGGCTAAAGCCAGGAGTGGGCCAGGACCCCAGGTCCCTCACAGGGTGGCACGAAGCCGAGTACCTAGAGTGTCCACTGCTGCCTCTGCAAGTCTGCAGCAGCAGGAAGCTGCAGCTCAGGAGCTGGGTATCGAACCTGGGAATTCCAGTAGCATCTGAAGATGTCTTAACCACCAGCCCACGCATTCACTGCCCAACACTCCTGAATGCTAGTCTAACAATCAAGATTTATTTTTTTTTTAAGATTTATTTATTTTCATTACAAAGTCAGATATACAGAGGGAAGGAGAGACAGAGAGGAAGATCTTTCGCTGATGATTCACTCCCCAAGTGACCACAACAGCCGGTGCTATGCCGATCCGAAGCCGGGAACCAGGAACCTCTTCCAGGTCTCCCACATGGGTGCAGGGTCCCAAAGCTTTGAGCTGTCCTCAATTGCTTTCCCAGGCCACAGGCAGGGAGCTGGATGGGCAGTGGAGCTGCCAGGATTAGAACCAGTGCCCATATGGGATCCTGGTGCGTTCAAGGTGAGGACTTTAGCCGCTAGGCCACACCGCCGGGCCCAACAATCAAGATTTAAAGAGAATTTCTCATATTGCCAAGAGTTGGAAGCGTTATTGCCTAGAACAAGTCCTGTGACTTGGACCTTGGCACTAGACAAAAGCTCAACAGCTACTAGTGTATTTAGTAGAGGTGATGGCAGTGGTTAGGACTGATGGTTTGGGCTGTCAGTACCACTTGTTGATAAGCTATTCCTGTGGGCCACTAATAGGAATACAAGTAACAATGATCAGCACGGTGCTGCATGTTGCTGGTGTCTCCCTGCCCTCAGACCGACCTTCCTTCACATCCCTGCGGAACATGCAACCCACTTCCTCTGCTTTATTTCGCTCCCAAATTTCATCGCTGTGTAAACAGACCACGTGGTGGACTTACTATGTGTTTATTGAAGTAGGCAGTATAAACTTAACACAGGAATTCTAGGGAATTTTTTTTTTCTCTTTTATCCACTGCAGAATCATTAGTGCCTGGAAATATCCCTGGCATAGGATGGTTATTCAATAAACATTTGTGGAATGCATGGAGAGTCTTCTTCTTTCCCACAAAAAGTATCCTAGATGCATATTTTCATGTCTGCTTCACAAATGGGAAACTTGAGGGCCCAGGAAGCCAGGGAGTCTGCGTGAGGCTTGACAGCAAAGCCAGTCACGTAGCAGAGTGGGGAACCGAACCCTGGTCAGACTGCTGCCAAGGTCTGGCTGCTGCTGTGAGCCAGTTCAAGCCAGTGGTGCGAAGCTACCTGGGAGTGTTATGGTATCTCCATAAATTCCACCTGAATCTCATATGCACACAGTTTCCTGGAATCTTTCCCCCTGATCTCAGAAGAAACAGGTGGAATCCCAGGAAAGAGATGGAGTGATGGATGGAAGGATATTATTCTTACACTTGGGGCGGGGGATTGTGGTTTCCAGGTGTTTATAGTTGGGCAGATCCTAAACTAGCTGTCCCACTGAGTAGTCTGTGGCTACCTCCCCGCAGGTTTGGCTTTAGATAACCCCGAGCAGCTCCAGGACAGCACAGCAGCAGTGGCCTGGCCACTGGATGGAGGAAAGCAGGGCTGGTTGAAATAGCTAGGCTTCATTACGGAGCAAGGCTTGCAGCTGAAGCTTGAGGAACAGGTTTGCATGATCCTGCACCATGGTTTTGGGTAGCCCCAGCTGCTGGCGGGTCAGGGGAAAGAGGGCAGCTGGGCTGGCTCCCTCATCGCTTGGAGCATTCTCCAGTTAGTCCACAGGTGCCGGAGTCCAGCTCCAGCTGAGTTCGGAACTCGCGAAGGGTGCGTGGATGAGACGCAAAGAGGAAAGAAAGAGACGGACCACTAGGACTCCATGATCATAATGGATGATGCACAAAAGCTGTCCGCTTTATTTATACAAAATCAGTCAAACTCTGGCTCAATACTCTTCACACCTTCCTGTCTTCCACACCCATCACACAGACCCCAGCACACAGGACCTAGCCCTCGGGGCTTTGATGGCAGCGGATAGCTTCAGGCCTCAGCTCTTCCTCCGGCTCTTCCCAACCTGAAAGCAACTAGCTCAGAGGAAGCAGGTTCTCTTTGGAGTCTAAAACATAAAAGGCTGGCTAGGATCTTTTTAAACTAAACCAAAGAAAGGACTGCTTTCATCAAACCAGCAGGTTCCTAATCTACACTATGTGGCATCGACCAGATTGTCAGCTGTGAGCTGTCGTAGTACCATGCTCAGGTGCCATTTCTCATGGTTGTACAACCTCAGCCGCTCAACGCATGTGCAAACTGGGGGCAGGGGCTCTCTCCTGTGTGTGTAGACAGCCGTTGCTGGGAACAGGAAGCTTGCCATCTTTCCTTTGTATTCCCTAGTACAAGACTCGGAATACATGTGGCTGAGTGGACCTGCTGTGAGCTGGAATAATGACTTCAGGAAGTTGTCATGAAAGTCAGCTAAGTGACACTAAAGGGTTTTCAGATGCTGTCAGTGCTTGGAGACAAGTCTGAAGGATTCGTGCGGTAGCAGGCAGACAGAGCAAGTCAGCTTACAAACGTATTGATCAGGGTCGGGAACTCCCAGCACCATTCATTTTGCAGAAATAATGAGATTGAGGTGGTTAAGATCCTAGCCACCCCACAGGCTGCCTGATAACTTAGGCTCTTCAGGGAGGAAGAATCAACATCCCATGATCATGGTGTTTCTCTCGAGAAGTATGTTCAGAGTTCTACCCGGAGAACCCATTTTTCACTCACATTCGCACTTGCGTTTGCCTCTGCCCCCCTGTATATATTTATGGAGCTCCTATTCAGTGTGTGTAGGACAGTGCTCATTCTTTTTTTTTTTTTTAAGATTTATTTATTTATTGGAAAGTCAGATGTACAGAGAGGAGGAGAGACAGGAATATCTTCCATCCGATGATTCACTCCCCAAGTGACCACAATGGCCGATGCTATGCCGATCCGAAGCCAGGACCCAAGAGCTTCTTCCAGGCATCCCACATGGGTGCAGGGTCCCAAGGCTTTGGGCTGTCCTTGACTGCTTTCCCAGGCCACAAGCAGGGAGCTGGATGGGAAGTGGAGCTGCCGGGACCAGAACTGGTGCCCATATGGGATCCCGGCGCATCCAAGGCGAGGACTTTAGCCACTAGGCCATGCCGCCGGGCCTGACAGTATTCATTCTTGCCCTCACATGGTTTGCAGTCTAGATGGGCAATCAAACCTGAGGCAGGCAGGGTTCAGGCTGATGAGTGATGGAAAATGGGAGGGTAAGTGCTGGAAGCTTCAGACCGGATGACCTCTGCTCACAGGAAGGGCAGGAGAGGGCCGCACAGAATGGGCCTGGGGCAGGCATTGGGATGAGCAGAACCTCATTAGAACAAGTGCGCATGAAAGTTCTGTAATATTGGCCGACTGCCAGGGAAAGAACACTTCAGCCAAACATATATATATATAGAAAATTAGATGGCCTTCATTCCAGGGAACCACGGTCAAGGGCTTCCCTTCCCAGACAGTCGTGAAAGAGAGGGCTGCAGAGGAAGAAGAGCCAGGAAGAGACATGCAAGGGGCTTTTTAAATTCACCCTGACACAGAAGCTGAAACGGGGGTTTCTTTGGCCCCTTTATTGGTGGAGTGGTAACCCCACTGTTCCAGGAACCCGCCAGAATTCCTTCCTTCCAGGTTGCAAGTCTGAGGTCAGGTT